TACTTCTAGAGTATGACAATTAGTACTTAAAATGAATGAAGTATATTTTGTGTCTGTAAGATGCATCTTTGGGAAAGAACCATTCTCTCTTTGTGATAGTCTGAGCAGTGGCTTGAAGGTGGCATGGGCTTGACTTTATCTGTGTTGCATTCTATAATTCCTTCAAGGACACCTTCAAAAAGCTTAACTCTTTATACTGAAACCTCCAGGGATATATATTGGAGCCTTTTGTAACTTATATACCAAACATATTTTATATTGGGGCAAAACACTGAAGATGGTTTGGGAGGCAATCACCAAGCTTGATCGTCAATGGGCTCTGTTCTGGAAAGGGAAGAGAAATAAACACATGGCAGAAGCTGTGAACAGACATTTTAAATTTCCAAACGCTCAGGACCCAATATAACCAAGCATTAATAGTGGACAATGCCTAAAGGTATGTGTATAGACAGAGCTAACATTGCAATTGCCTCTTACATAGCAAAAAGCCTTTTTTAGATGCTTGTTGTGGAGATAGAGCAATTGATCCAATTTGCAGTAGAGAGAGTGAACTTCACACAAGAAAAGAAGAAATGTCATCCTGTTCTTGAAGTAAGTCTGGTGCAAACTGATGGACCTATATATTTACATGGCCTCTATTGAAATAGGGAGAAGTGGGGTCTGAATTGATGACAAGGTGCTCTCAGATGCTTTTGTGTAGTTTGAGCCACTGTGCAGCCTGTCTTTGGTGGGTTTCGCATCCATACAGGAAGCCTGGAAGAAGGGCTGGACCATGTGGGACTGTATACGCTGAAGTGCTCTGCCTGCCTAGCAGGTCCAAGGGGCAAGTCACAGATAGCTCATACTCGTCAGGGCTTCTCTTTTCTCTTTCTGCCAAAGCTGCACTGGGGTAACCAACAGGGCTTAACTGGGAGGACACAGATGGAAAATGTGTGTCACAGCCCCCTTATGGTGCCTGCTTGCAGTAGGTGTGGAAAGTAGCTGAGGCAATGAAGGATAAGGAGACCTCTGCTTGTCTAGTGAATATTATTTAGTGCTGGGTAGAAGTATGGCTCTCTTGTAGATTTCAGATATTACACACTTTTTTGGAACCATCTAGTGCCAGCATTTGGGCAAAAAAGAAATAAACTTTTACCCTTCATGACCTTAAATGAAGCAAAATAAAGAGTCCAACGCATTTTGCACACAAATAGAAGATTTTAAAACCCAAAAGGCTTTGATCTTTTACTAGGGGCAAACTTTTTTCCCCTGTTCTTTTTACAAGAATATGACCCGGAAATTTTGAACCTAACGCAACTGAACTGAGAAAGGAAGGGATGATGACAGTGAGGTAGAGGAAATTCCTGTAAAGGAAACAGACTCAACACTGTGCAGAGCTAAAACTAACCACAATTCTTATCATGTAGAGTAGGATGTGCAGGTAAGATTTTCAGATAATTATTTCTTTTAATGATAGCTTTTAGCTTCAGATTTTAGCCCTCCCTACCCCATCTGCTTGACAGGTGAGTTGGTTTTACTGTCTTTGAATGTGCATTTTAAAGTAAATTGGTTTTAATTTCTTGGTCAGACCAAACAGTAGTATGTTAGTAAGTAGCTTCATTAGATTTTTTTTTTTTTTTTTTGCTTTATAGACATGATGAAGCTTTTTTCTTCTGAGTGACTATTACTAATCTTACTCTTAGAATCAGAGTAGGTTTGCCTTTCCATGATGTAAATCCAAAACAAGACACAGGAATTGATAGCTCTGACACTGAAGTGATTTTCATCAGAATCAGAATAGCTGGTTGTAAGATAGTGGCACGCCACTCTTTACTACACTTCAGAGATTTCATGAAACTCGGTGCAGCTCTTAAGAAACTGATTTTGATTTCTTTTGCTTATGTTTTATGTAAATGCACACAAAATACTATGAAATAGAGATTTAATTGTGAGAGTCCTTTAAGTTGAAACATAGGCCAAATAATACAGTTCTTATTCTTCTCTCTTACATTTTGTTACCAAAGGAGATTATGTAAGACCACATTAGTTTCCTTTGTATATAAGTTACTTTCCAGTTAAATGGCATCCTAAATTCCTAGACTAAGGGTATGATAAAATGTGTGTGTACATGGCAGGAGAAGGCAGAGAGACCCTTGATAATACTTTGCCCAGAGTGGAGTGCTTTTCTTTTTCTGGCAGATACTGACAAAGATAAAATGAGTCACTGAATATATTGAGCCAGTGAATCACATTGCATCCACCTGCAGTGCAAATACACCTGAATGGTCAGTTTTAGACTATCCTGTTTCAGGTATCCCCTTCCTTGAGTAATTGCTGTCTGCTTCTGCTGTGAATTTCTTGATTCCTGTCAAGCACACTGCAAGATGACACTTAATTTCACATGCTACCGTACTTTTTAAGCACTAGAAAAATGCAAAGTTTCTGAGGTTCTCTAATAGAAGTGTTATCAGTCAGCAGAAAGATTGGCGGTGGTGTGTTTTCCCATGGCTAGCAAAGGACAACAGAAAATTATAGAGATGGTTAACCAAAGTTATAACATTCATTAGTTAACCCTCCCTTTCACACTGCTTCCCCATTTGTGGTGACCTTTCGAGCTTGAAGAGGGCGTTGTTAGTACGGCGGTAAAGTGGAGAGCAGAGAGATTATACATCACTGGCGTTATTAAACGCTTTGTGAATGGTGACTCGGTGTGGTTTTGCTACACGTAGCCTGTGTGTCCCCGATTACAGACAAACGGGCAGCTGGGAAGTAAACGCTTCCACTGCTTATCTCGTGCCAGGTCAGACACTCCTCGGATAGCTTCTGATGGCTTAACAGATTGAACTGAGTCACCAGCGAGGGCCAGAGCTGTCACAGGAGAGGGGCTGGAATGTTCTTCTGGGATCAAGGGAGAGGGAAGTGGGAAGGACGGAAAAGTAGACAAGACCTTCCAGTTTTGACAACAGGGACCCATTGCAGCGTCTCACCTGCCGAATGGACTGCAGCACTGAATCACACACAAGGCCCTTGGGTCCTGCTTGCTACTAGCACCAGTATGCCTTTGTCATTTAGGCTGATGGGTGACACCGTAACTCAAAACATCATCCTTTGTTTTATACAGCGTGAATAGGGACCGAGCTACAGCTGTAATGAATGCCTTGAGAGAGGTCTTCACAACTGGCATAAACACAGATTTAAAAGAGTCAGGATCCATTAAACTTTATGCAGTGGATAAGAACAGTCGTCTTAAAGTTTAGGATGGCTTTTGCCCAGTGCTGGTAGGAAACATTGTCTCTTTAATCAGACTTACTCATCGGCTTGGAGTTTCAGGATGATTTTAAAAGATGTATGGGCCGATGATTGTTGGCAGCAGCCAATCTGTAACAAAGCACCAGGGTGGGTTAAGACAAATGAGTTAACCTACTCCGTGTGACCTCTGAGTGTAAAAATAGATCATTCCGTTGAAAGGAATAGAAACATGCTGAAGAGAATGGTGACTAAAGTACTCCTCTCTGCACAGAATAGCTGCCTGAAAAAGTGCAGAGTGGGAGTTCTCTTCACCTCTCTTGCTAGCTCAGTGTGCACTGGATGCTCTCCTGCTGCCTGCCTGTGTGAGTCGTGTCTGATTTGCATGAGGTGCCAACAGACAAGGGACTAGCCTTTGCCTGACCTTTTCTTTTTTTTCCCTCGGGCTGACTCAGTGCCTCTCTAGCAGCTGTGCAAATGCAGAGTCACTCTGCGGCCACATGAGCAAAAGAAAAAAAGCTCCTTGAGGTCTCAGTTGCTTGATGTGCACATAGCCTTTACTCACCGAGATCCTGGATCAGGCACTCCAGACATGTCAGTCACAAGTGTTGGATATGTTCTTATTTAATACCCAAATTAAGCCATGGCTGTTGAATATGCATGCTTGGCAGCCTGCCTTCCCTCTATCCCTGTGGCTCAGAAGGCTGTGGGACACAGATCAAATCTTTTAATAGGCAAGGCAAAACACTTCATACAGTAGGGTTTGGGGTTTCACCTTGGACAGGGTGCTGTAATATAGGGATCTGGGTGCAGCTGAGTGCCTTGTGGCAAATGCCCTGGGTGTTCCTGGTCTCAGCTCACGGGTGACACACCACAGAGCTGACACCTTATGAT